AGAGCACGACAGAAAAAATATGGCACTCCCTTGTATTCCCCAAGTCAACGTGCCTCTGCTACAGCTAGTTATTGAAGCGAAAACAATAATCAAAATATAAAGATATTGCTTTGATAGGTAAGTCTTGTAGTAGGATGTGTTACGAGATGTTTTATCTCCTCTGGGCTGGGCTGGGCTGGGCTGGGCTGGGCTGGGCTGGGCTGGCCCTATGCTGCTTATTAATGTTTATTATAACAAACCCCATTACGACCGTGGAAGATAATCTTGATACCTTTTTTTCAACAACAGGTCCAATCAAAGTGTTGTTCTTTTCGGGGAAAGTGCTGTCGCAGCGCTAGGTGCCTTGGGAAACATTCAACCCAAAGAAGAATTTCGTTCACGTGATATCTCGCCACGATAAAGTTCGTGTGTCTTCAAAACTGAAATATCGCCAAGAGAAACAGAAAAACAAAATATCCTGGTTGACACTAGCAATGGAATCATAAGCACAAGCAACAAGAACTCGGCATTTAAAGCAATTTTCAAAAGTACGGTTTTATCTCTGCCGTTAATCAAAATAGCAGACTGGCGGCAGTGAAAAACTAAAGTCCAACAGTCAACGCTCAACTACAGTCGCCTAGTATTGAAAATTGTTGTAAATGGACAAGCTTTCATCTAGGACCATTATTTTCTTTACGTCCCTGCGACCCTCGAACAATAAGGTCTTGTCCGTGTTCGTTTAACAGGAGGCATTCTGGTTTAGCTTACGTACAATTACCACCATGCAAGGCATGATGAACAAAATTTGTTTGTAACGATGCAAGACCACGATAGTCACAATCAAAGAATAGTTCTGCGTAACTATGTCGATAATCTTTTAAAAGGTTTTCGACGAAAATACTCGGGCTTTTAAAATAGAAAATGAAAAATTGGGAGTTACTAAGACCTACTCTTTCATTCATTAGTGGGGCTTGTCCAWTTTCTTAGATGTACGGATGTTGCTTGTGCTTATGTTTGTATTGCAAGTTTAAACCAGGCTAAGGGCTTGTATATTGTGAAATTTACCTGTAAATCAGAGTTTATAATGAAAATTATTGTAAGATGCCGTAGCATTAAAGGATCGAGGATATTATTAAATATATAATAAATGAGTTCTTTGCCGCTGTAACAATCAAAGAATTTTYTTACTGCTTACTTGACTGGATATTTTTCTTCTCGATAGAGCGTTTTCACTCACGTGAGAAGGCAGCCATAAACAATAGAAACTTTCTGCACAGTATTTGCATAAAAATAGAGTTCATTTCCCGGAGGATAGAAAATGTATTGTTTTGGTACCCCATAATGGCCGCTGTGAGGTCRCGTGAAAACGCTCTATACTCCCATTTCGAGWTCTCCTTTGCACAGTCTTRGCTTTGATGCATACAAATGTGTTGTTTTCTCTTATTAAGGTCCATTGTRAGTAAGAAATGTACGTTTTGCCGAACAATACAAGTYGATTAAAACGCCACGTGTTTTGGTTTGAATACCTGAATATTATAACACACAACCGAGACAAAAAGCAAAAGAGATTTCGAAAATGGAGTATTCTTGGTTTTSACCTACGTCATCATGAATTTCAAAAGCGTAAATTCGCATTATAATGAAATAAAAGTTTCATAATCTTGTAAAGCGGTCAAAACTACGTATTCTGGCCAAATTTCGAGGCTGTAAAGCATTTCGTTGCGGAACTATAGGCGAATAAACATGATGACACAATTTTTGGTTAAAATGTATGGAGCGGCCATCTTGGTGTTCCAAGTTGTTTCTCATTCAACGCATACCGCTGTTTTCAAAGACCACATACTCATTTGCACAGGCTGAGCCTCGTTTAGAAGTCGACTTTTCACAAATACTATTAAGAATCCGTAGGATTTCAAAACATTGGTATTGTTCAAGCTGCGCATTCTTTATATTACACTTGGCTCTTGCAAATGATTTGCTCTTAAACGAGACTAAGCCTGTGCAGATGAGTCTGTAGTCATAAAACACGGCGGTATTTACGGATTGAGAAAATGGACCATTCAAAAATGCGCGTTGTCGTAATGACCGCTGACCAACTTTTTATTCCGTTAACAATGATCCAATGTAGCATAGATTATAGTACCCTTACCTAATTCACTCAGTCTTGCAGACAATCATATTCTAAGTAAGTGGTAATGGCCATGAGATGGACCAGGTGYATTTTTCAATAGAAGATTATTCTAGTAGATATTCTTAGGAAACATAAAATTGATGAGTTGCAAGCATTCCCAAGAAAATTAAAAGACAAAATTTTGTTAAATGGCACCAACGCTCCCCGGAGAGGCCGCGATGACGTAACGTGCAATTGAAGAATAAAGAGGTACGTTTATAGCTCACTGTAGGGTGAGCGTGAAATATGATTTAGATTGAAGATCCGATAACCAGAGCATAATGTCGCGTATATTAGTGGTACTCGTATTCATGGATGTACACTAATATATTATTTTGCACATCTGGCATTTCCCACTATACTTTGCTTGCCCCATATCTATAGAACAAACCCCTGCTATGTGTCAATCAATTGAATGATTTTTTTTGTGAGCAAGGACGATCTCTATCGACCAAAGTGGATACTTCAATATGAGAAAAAGTCAAGTGCTATTAGTATTACACGTGCCAGTCGGCGGCTCATTTTCCTTTATTCCGTATGGCACATTTTTTTAAATATTGATAGCTGATTTTAATAGAAATTAACGTTAAGTCAAAAAACGAAATTAATGCTAGTTTGTTAGTAAACTTTTTTTAATTCTCGCAAATAATATGAAATTTGAGAATTGATAAATTTTCTTGCAAGACATACCCTCTTATGAAGAATTATAGCCAGTATTATCTATACATGAATTAAATTTTATATGTATGTATTTGTCCTTTGGTCTTGGACAAATATCAGTTTTTAACTGTTTCGTGCAAGTTGCGATATGGGATGGAATCGTTCAAATAGTAAATCGTTAGAGCTCTAGTAGTTTCTCATGGTCCCAATATAACATTATAGACGGATGTGTTTGTCCGATTTCCTTGTCACGACTGTTGTGTCTCGAACAACACGTAGCAATGACAACTGTCAAAATAGAAAACGCGAGCGATGTGTGCAGTTATAAAGCACGCGGCGGTTTGCAGAATACGAGAGGAGTGCTAGGAGAAGCACGACTCGTAGCGGAGTACTTCTCGAGTGTTCTGCCAAATCCCAAGTCCTTTATAACTCCACACAGCGCAGCAAAGCAAGCAATTTTTTAAAATTTCTTTCTTAAAATACAAATTACAGAAATGATGAAACTTGAAGTGCGCGCATGTGCTGTGTGCTCTCAAAAAGAGCGCGCTCCCTACCAATCAGAACGCGATATTTACAKCAGCTATTTTATAAAGCGGTGTAAACTCCAATGAAAGTACCTTTTAGACGCACTCTAGTGCTTTTTATCTCGTATGCTAAGTTTTCCTTGTTCTATTCCCTATACCAAATCTTTTTCGATAATCTTCGCTATCCGGCATTTACGCTTGTTACTTTTAGTTTTAATCTTTAGGCCTTTTCATGTACACCTGTGTTATGTTTGAATATCATAATTAGAAATTACCTGTGCCAATCATAGCTTAGCAATAATTCACAATAGATCTTTCATTGACATCTTTTTGATTCATCGTAAACGAAGCTTTTAAGTGTGACTAACTAGTAATGGCATGTCAAAACGACTTCCAGGYCCGATCTAAAACGAAAAGCAGTTTTTTTTTCGTGGCACTATCATTGTAAACCAAAGTTGTAATTGTTCTGTGTTGAGGATAAATCATTGAACAACATTTTTCGTTTTATTTAAGAGCAACGCGTTTTTTTTAAGCATGCAGTTGGTCCTAGATATATGTCACCACGTGAAAGCCCCGAATCAAAATATGGCGAGCAATTTGCATAACTATTGTTCTGCATTGACTTGCGACTGACTAGCCTCTCATACATGTGAAAACGCTTTTAAAGTCGCTAGTTAGTGYAGAACAATAGTTATGCAAATTGGCTGCCAAATGTCGATTATATTCCACGTGTATATTTGTCTAATTCCATAACCAGCTCGTATCGTCTCATAATTATCATAGTACTAATAAGACAAATAGAGYATCCGTACAAGCCGCGCCGAGAGTGATACGTACTTCATCACTCTCACTTCGTTGTACTAAAAGGCACTTGTTTGATTTGTGAGGGGTGGTGACTCACTYTGAACTGGTTTATCTAAATCTCGTGCTTTCAAAATCTCTTGAAGCTTTTTGTTGTGCTCGAAGAARTATCGCTGAATAAGTAGCTTGATGATTCGATTCCTCTGAAAATCATAAAACGAAAAAAGCGCACTTAGAAAGAACTCTTCTCAAAATCTCAACTGTTTTATTGTGTTTCTCTCGGCTCTCGGCTCTCGGCTCTCGGCTCTCGGCTCTCGGCTCTCGCTCTTGTTTATTGTATTGAATTAGAAATGGGGAAAGACTTTCTTAAACAGAGAGAAGACTGAGGGAAAGTTAAAAAGCTGAGGGAAAAAAGAGGGGGATCCCTTCCTTTTCATTAAAGGAATGTGATAAATGGTACGAAATATTTTTAAACAAAACCAAAAATATTTATTCTGCGYAGTAGAAAGTCYTTTTTTCTTCTTTTTGTTTTCTKTTCTCTTTTTGGTTCTCTTTTTTCAAAGGAACACTTTTCAAGYGCAAACAAAATAGGCCTACAATCATGAACGTCTTACCTTTCTTTCATTATAATCCAGAGAAGCAAGGTCTGGCAGCTGAAGGTCATTCTTAACGCACTAAAAAT